AGGCAGCACCAGGGTGTGCCACACGAATCTAGTTTCTGCAGCCCTTGGTTTCAGCCAGACGAATTGTTGAGGGGTTACCATCTTCCTGGCTCACAGAGAGAAAACTGAGGCCTCCCCATTGTGCTACACCATTAGCCAATAGAAAGAGCTGAGACCCGCATCTTTAACGAGGGATGTCAAACCTCGAAGGCTTAATTAGAGCCTGTTAAGCCATTTCCGATCCTTAGATGAAAGTTGTGCTCATCTTATTACAGCGCTAACAAAGTCGCTCGGGGGCTGCTCAGAATCTCTGATCTTTAGACCAAGTTAAATGAAAAAAATTAAGGGCCTTCTAATGTTCTGCTTCTTTTTTTCCCTAGCCTCTTTCAAAGAGGATTTCTCCCAAACCAGGAAGCGTTGGTGGTGTACTGGTGAGCACAGCTGCCTTCCAAATCAGGAAGGGAGACTCCACTTTTCCTAATGCTGTCCAGGACATCATCTGGGGGATGAGAGGACAGAATATGGGATGGAGAATGGAGACCTCGTATAGCCAAAATGTAGGGGGTGGAGCTGATACAACATTGTGCGCTTTTTTTTTTTTTTTGAGACAGAGTCTCACTATACTGCCCTCTGTAGAATGCTGTGACATCACAGCTCACAGCTACGAGGCTTGGGCTTAAGTGATTCTCTTGCCTCAGCCTCCCAAGTAGCTGGGACTACAGAAACCCACCACAATGCCAGCTATTTTTTTGTTTCAGTTGCCATTGTTCCATTGTTGGTTAGCTGGCCCAGGCTGGTTTCAAACCTGCTAGCCTCAGTGTATGTGGCTGACGCCATAACCACTATGCTATAGGTGCCAAGCCGACATCATGCACTTTTATACACATCAATACATCAATACATAATTGGGAGATGTTCAGGTTCAGAAATGTTACAGGACACCTGTGAATATTCTCCCTACCCTATTCCCCCACCACAGTCTCCAGTAGAAACTTCAGAGAGTCCCAAGATGGAAAACCCTCTCCAAACAGAATCAAAATAGTAATTTCTTAAATGGTAAAAAAATAACCCTGAATTCTGAAAGACTATTTTTAACATGGTAATAATGCTTTAATCAGCCACCGGCAGAGAGTGTGGTATTTGGTTCAGACATTTTACCAATTACAACCCACTGAGTCCCTGCGTGATGCTTTCTAAATAATCAAACCCAGCTCTTAATAGTCACTCACCCAGACAGGAAGAGAGAGGAAAACCAAACCCAAAGGAGAGGACGCCATTACTAAAGAAAGCTCAGGCTAGCGGGTCCTTAGGAACAAGAGCCGTCCGTCCTGGCTTGCGGCAGGTGGTAGCAAAACAGCAGACCTGGCTAAAAGTGTTTTGGTTTGGGGGTTTAGGGATTCCAGGAAAGTGAGGAACACCTAGGAGCAGGGAACCCAAGATCCTGGGCTTCAGGTTGGACAGACCCGAGCATAAATCCCGCTCCTCTCAAAGTCCTTGCTAATAGCAGGATGAGGGCCGAGTTCCTTGCTCTCCCTGAGTTTCGCTTTTCTTACTGGGAAAAATGTGAATTTATCTACCTTAAAGGGCCATCCTCAAGACTGGAAGTGATTTTTGCATATTGCCCACATGCTGCCTGCTATGAGAAAGGCACTCGAGAGATGTGATTTCCTTTATTCCTTGTCATCTTCCCCTCCCCTGCCGGCATCACCTTGGATGGGACCGGGAGAATGCGAAAGCACCGATACGGACATTCTTCCCACCCTGGACGAGAAGCCCAATTAATTAGCATGCCCCACACCATTTCTTCCTCCTGTAATAAGCATGGGAAGGACACCTGGCAAGAAGTGAAAAGATTGGGCGGTGATTGGGAAGGGACCTGGGGACCAGCGCTGCAAAGCCACATCTGTGCCCAGGATACATCACGCACCGTTCTCACTTGGTACTTGTGGCACCTGCACCAGACAGGAAAGCGGCAGGACGCTCACCAGATTTGTTGAAGAAAGATGGGTAATAAAGAGAATAATCGCCATCCACTTCATGAGTGCAATCAGGAGCATGTGTCCCTTAGGGCAGCTGAAGGTCAAAAACATCCTCTTAATGGTCACTGAGGCAGCAGACTCCATTCAACATTAGCTCAAAAATATGGGAGTGGGATGTGGGGAGGCCACGTCAAAATTCTAGGAGTAGAGGCTGCGGTTCACTAAGGCTTGTCTACTAGCACAATGACTCAAAGACTAGGCTGTGGGCTACACACATTACAATCTTCTATCTGGTTGCTAGTTGAAAACATGCGGATTTCTGGAATGCAGCCAGTTGGACTGAATCAGAATTTTCATCTGTGGGGCCTGGGAATGTACAATTTAAGTTAAAGCAGCCTGTCATTCTCTTTCAGATGCACACCTCCATTGGAGAAGCCTGCCCTTGGACCACTAATGTATACTTCTGAGAAGAAGCTGCAGCCCATTTTCGGATGCCTCAGGGCTAAAGGATGGGCCCTGGGAGCTGATGATTGAGACTCTATCTCAAATACATTTTGAGTGGCCTTCTTAATGACTCAGGCAATCCTGTGGCCTTGTAGCTGGCATAAGCCAGACGGAGTGGCATCTGCTGGAGAAGCAGAATTAAGGCAAAGAGGTAAAAGCTGTGACTCAAGTGGAGGGAGGGATCAGGGCGACTATCTGGCTCTGTCACCACAGGTGTCCCTTATGGAGTGTGCTGGAGTCGGGGCTTGGCATAAGCATTACGTCCTCTCAATCACTCCCCCACCATTCCCATCCCCATCCCCTTGTTCCTTTCCCCGTTTAATGTTTTCCCTCCGAGCAATCACTCCCAGCACTATGTTCTATATGCTATTTGTTTACCTACAGCCTGTCTCCTACTAGAATACAGGCTTCACAAACGCACACTTTCTCCATTTTTACAAACCTGTACACAGAAGAGAGCCTGGCATATAACAAGCACTCAGCAAAGAGTTCATGAAAGAATGAATGGTTGTTCTTCATTTTATATCCCCCAAGGATACTGGGGCTCCGGGAAAAGTCTGCCTGACAATTTCCCTACAGGCTGGCAGCTTCCCTTGTTCTGGGTATTATGAGCTCAAGGGCACAATCTGAGTATAATAACCCAAATTGGTACTTACTATTTTCTATGTCAGGCTCCCTCACCAGACTGTGAGCTCTATCTTAGCACAGGGGTCGAGTCTTTCTCTGCTTTCTTTCCCCCCGGCCCAGCATGGTGCCTGACAGATAGTATATGCCACTTTGTAATATGCTAGCCCTGTGGTTTCTGGCTGCCTACCTGATCCTGCCCCATCTGAGACATTATGATCAGTGACAGCTATTACTGTTGCTTGCAGACAGCTCTGGCCCGGGGCTGTGAGCAGTTGTGGACAGAGTCGGAATCTGGACCCACTTCCTCTCTCTGTCTGGGACTCCTTCCTTTTACTCTATTGTCTTCCAGAAAGGGTGACCTGGTCTTGTGGCCCAGCACAATCACTGGCCTCCTAGATAGCACCCCACTGGGCCTTGTAAGAAAGGCTCACTGGAGCCTCTCAGATGTGGGGACAGAACAGCAGGAGGCAAGTGACAGGGCCTCCAAGGTGCAGGGTTGCATCAGAATCACCCAGATGCAGTAATAACTACATCTGTTTCTTTCTGGGCTCTATCTTAGGCCTACCCAGCCAACTCCTGTGAGGTAGCGTCTAAAAATCTGCCTTTTCAAGATTCTGATGCACAATTTGCTATAATGTTTAAGAATGTGGACTATTAATGGTAGATGTATTGGAGTCTAAAACAGTTCTCCCAATACTCATTATTCAGAGCCAAGTCAGTCCATCTCTCTGAGCCTCAGTTTCCTCAAGTGTAAAATAAGGATTAACAAACAATGCCTATTGTGTAGGGTTAAATGGGAAAATATATGACACATTCAATGGGGTAGAAGGCCCATGTTAAGGGCTTACAAGATGCCTATAATCCTTGCACTGTGGGAGGCTGAGGCAGGAGGATGGCTTAAGCCCAGGAATTGGTGGCTCCTGGGAGCTATGATGATGCCATTGCATTCCAGCCTGGGTAACAGAGCATGACTCTGTCTCAAATACATTTTAAAAAATAAATGGAAGCTGCTATGATGATAATGATGATGATTCTTCAGTCTCCTGGAAAAGGTGATTCTGCAACTCTTAACAGTGGTGTGTTCCCTTGTTCACCCACTTCAAGGTACCTGACTCTTGCTGTATTTTGTGCCTGGCTTCCTACTTACCAGCCCTTTCCAAGGTTGTAGAAAAGCTAGCCGCATGATAGGGAGTTGGTTACTAGGGTGACAGTGAAGGTGGGAGCCCTTCAAAGTGACACTGGAGTGACTGTCAGATCCCTGTTCCCTCTGACGGAAGAGGATAGGGGAGAGAAGAATGAGAAAAAGAGTAGGGAGCTGAAAGGAGCTGTGAAGGACAAAGCATCCCTGAGATGACGGGGACAGACAGGTAGCAGACAGGAGAGGAGGTGCATGACTAGCACAGGGGGTGGGGGCTGAGGGCTGGTCAGAGAAAAGCTGGCGGGAGCGAAGCTGCTTCCGCTCCAACGCTGGAGGGCTTCCTCAGCCCACCTGGGATCCGGTCTGTGCCTTACCAGTGGCTCACAGAGGTTGCAGGGTGAGGGTGAGACTTAGCGGGTAGAAGACTACATAAGACCAGAGAAGCCCTGAGAATTCCTTCCTTACCTGACACCCTCTTGCCACCTTTCTGGCCCCACAAAGCACAGTTGCCCCCTTGGGGTGTCGTCTCTCACCCCGGGCTTAAGCCATCCTCCCATCTCAGCCTCCCAAAGTGCTAAGGATTATAGGCACTGGTTGATCTGGTGGCAGGAAGGGCCAGACCATCGTGGGCCAGGAACCTTGCACAGGGTATAGGATGTCTGGGAGATAACTGGGAGCCATCCTGAGCACGGCAGAGTCCAAGAAACATGCTGGGGACAGAGAAAGGAACAGAAAGTAGGGCTGTACCATCCCGGCAGCACAGCTGGGCTTACCTGCCGGAAACCATTCCTCGTGAACTGTAAGATTTTCAAGGCATAGTTGGACCTCTGTCCTTTGCTGTTGAATTCGATGTGGCCGGTGAGACCTTCCAATTCTACCTGTCCAAGAGAGAGTGAGTTACAGCATCAAATAGGCCCCGTGTTCTGCTCAGCTCCAAGCGAGCATTCCACACAGGCAGTCCTGAAGGTGCTCACCAAGAAAAGCCATCAAGAGCCATTCCCCTGCCCACCTCCCACCACAGCACCTAGAGGTGACAAATGTGATGTCTCTGGGACAATTCAGACTTGGCTGGGGCTGCAGGAGAAAGATGTCCCATATTCAAGCACAGCCATGACCCTCCTCCAGGCCCTTGGCTGTCAGTAACGCCTACACCCTGTGGGCAGCGCCTCCCCCACTCCCAGGAGTGCAAGAAGTCAGGACAAGCCTACATTTGCCTCTAAATGCAAAATCCAAGATCCTCTGCACCAGGTTCTCTGACAAGAGACACCTTCTTCGTAGGGTAGAGATCCACCCCCACCCCTCAGAGGAGGCAAAGCTGGGGAGGTGGACCCTGGGAAAACCTAGCACCAGGCTGCTGGAAGTCTTAAGCCTGGAATTCCTGGAGGGGTCAGTCTCCCACAGCACTGCTCTTGCCCATGGAGCTTTGCTGGGTCCACTGCTGAACAAAGGGGCCAGGTTGCAAGCATAGAATTCAAAAAGGCCTTCTGAACAAAATTCCATGGATTATTCTCAGTGGTTTTAGGGATTAGGGAGCAAATTAGGGAGCCATGATCCAGTGGACTGGGGCTACCATAGCGGGACCATGATCTACTAGCTCAGAGCTGAGGGCTCTTATGCCTTGAACTGGGTGTCCCTCCAAGGCCGGGTAGGTGTGGCTGAGCAGGGCCTCAGCCGCTCCTTACCATGCGCAGGTAGTTCATGAGGCTGGTGCCATGCTGCCAGATCTGGGCAGAGCCGCAGGACAGGGGCTTCACACCGATCTCCTGACTCCGGTTCAGCTCCTGCACGGCGGTCACCACGGCATAGACAGCATCAAACAGCAGGGCAGAGGAGAGCTGGGAGAGGAGAGGGAGTGGAGGAGAGAGGAAGCAGTGGAGACAAAGGAAGGAGGGGTGGGGAGGGGGGAAATAAGGGGAATGGAGGAGGGAGGGAGAAAGGCAAAGAAAGGGGAAATAAGGGTGAATCTTCATCATGCTTGGCCCACCTCCCATCTCTGTACCTGTTCAACTTCAGCTACTAGTTGGGAGGCAAAGACAGCAGTGGCAAAGACTTCTCTGGTATTGAAGTGTCGGGCTACGCCATTGGGTCCCAAATAATTTTAAAGAGATGTATCATTTTCTCTGTTTGCTCCGGGAAATAAGCAACTTCCATTGCTCCCAAGAATCCTCAGGAAGGGGGCAGGGCTGCTTATCTCAGGAAGCAGGAAGGGACCTGGCCACACCCCTCAGATTTACCCATTCTAGGAGTCTTGGCTGAAGGCTGCCTCCTCCAGGAGGACCCCATGATATTGTTTTTTCCTAGATAGACCTGCTGTCACAGTCCGCTTTGCATTATTTAACTTGATGAGTACATATAAAGCATGTGGCAAGTTCAAAGCTCAAAGACCACTTAATATCCTATTTCCAGGATAGAGTGTGATGGGATGGGGAAGGAGCAGGGAGGAGACAGGACACACATCAGGGTAAAGTGAGACTGACTTCCCACTATAATTTTTCACAGACCTAGAGAAAATAGTTCCACGCTTCGTATGAAACCAGAAGAGACGCAGAATAGCCAATGCAACCACACATGATAAGAACGAATCTGGAGACATCACTCTACCAGACTTCAAGCTACATTACAAGGCCACGGTATCCACAACAGCATGATACTGGCACAAAAAATAGTCATAGACCTACGGATCAGAACATTTGCACTCAAATGTTTATAGCAGCAAAATTCACAATTTCAAGGATGTGGAAACTACCTTAGCGCCCACCAATCCATGAGGGAATTAACAAATTGTGGTATGAGTACCATGGGATGCTATTCAGCCATAACAAAGATATGATCTAGTATCTAGTAACAACTCGGATGGGCTTGAAGACCATTCTCCTAAGTGAAGCACCCCAAGAATGGAAAAACAAACACCACATGTACTCAATGCTAAATTGGAACTAGTTAATCAACACTTATGTATACACGTGGGAATAAACTCAAAGAAAACCAAGCAGGTGGGGGAAGGAACAGGGTAAATGCATGCCTAACTTGGGCAATGTGTATATTCCGGGTGAAGGGCACATTTATAATATTGACTTAAAATGTACAGAAGCAAATGGTACAACCAAAAAATGTCTATAACCCTGTAATATTCTGAAATTTAAAATAAGAGGTCTGGGGGCAGGCGGAGACCAAAGAGGGAGATATCTGGCTGGGAGATCAAGAACGTACCTCCTGGAGTGGAGCTCTGAGGGATTCTGTAGATGAGTTCTTGGATGTGGGGTGGGGAGAAGCTGGGGAAAGACAAAAGCTTTCCAAAGGGGCAACGGCAGCAGCAGAGACTGGGAGGTGGAAGGTGCGGAGGAGACAGCAATAAATCAGACACACGAGGGCAGGCGTCATGCCGCGCAAGGCCGAGAGCCACAGAAGAGGTCAGTGCATTTGTGTGTCCATATTTTCACCTTCTGTTAAACTGCAAGCTCCTCAGGGTAGTGGACATGTAGGACCTTAATCTCCAAATGCTGAACAGCCTCTAGTATGGGGCCTGACAAGTGGTTGGCCCCCCAAGACATACTTCTTGACTTGTATTAAATTTACTGTTGGCTGAAAGCTGCCCAATGAGTTAAGGTGCTGTTTGTGGCCTTTGGGGAGGGGAAGGCTGGGGGTGTGTGGGTGGAGGTGGTAGGAACTGAAAGAAGATGCTTGTCTTTGGGGAATGTGTGATCTACACACTGTCTGTTGTTTATGTAGACAAGGTCCCTGACAAGGAAAAGCTACCGAGTGTAAGTGATGATATAGTCAACACTGTACCGGAGCCCTGAGGGCAGGTCAAGGAGGGCAGGCAGAGGCGTCCTGGGAGGAGTGGTCTTGGGTGGCTTAGAATCTACTGTGATAAAGCAAGTTTTTCTACTGACTTATGACATTCTACCATGGGCAGCTCAATATCACCCCTTCCAAGCCTCCCCTTTCAACCAAAGGCTGCCAATGCACTGTCCCCTGTGACAGTCTCCTTTCTGGCCAGGGCCTGGGACACTGGCCCCCCTAAGACTGGAGGGAGCAATGCCACTGTGGATATTTTTAGGCTCTCCAGACACAGTGTAAGCAGCAGAGTAAAGCAGCTGACGGCACAAATACCAAACCCCAAGTCTGGATCCTTGGCCCTTGCTGGGCTGCTGAGTGATCATGGATGTGTTACTGAACCTCTCCGAGTGAGCAACAATTCCCATATCTGTACAAGAGAAGAGGCACTCCCTGCCTCCCAAGTCTGCAAGAATACCATGTCAAGTATAAGCTCCAGGGATCAGCATTCCTGACAGCAGGGACTGCGCACCCCCAGGTCCAGACAGGCATGAGCAGGTGCTCAGGAAGCAGGCCTTGAGCCTGCTCCAGGGAGTAACAAGAACTGGGAGCCTCAAGGGCAGAAAGTGTGCTGGACATGGCCTTATTTCCTGCCCTGTTTCACTGTATGTTGCACCAAGAGGCCTGTGATAGCAACCGAGGGAGCTGATTTTAGATAATCTCTTAAAAAGCAATTACAGAGAAAATCAGCCAATCAAGTTTCTTTGTTCCAGTCCAAGTTCACCTGCAACGCAAAACTACCTGGCCAGTGTATGCTTTCCTTCTCCCTCTCCCTCCCTGCCTCCCTCTCTTCCTCCTCTTCTTTCTTCCCACCTTACCCTCTGACAGCTACCAGGGACCTCAATGCCTCTCGACTGTCCACAGAGACATCCGGCCAGGCTACTGAGTCCCCTCTGCTTCTACCTCTCTTCCTGTCTGTCCCCTGGTCCTATGGCCAACTGAGACCTTAAAACTAAGCAAATAAGGGTACCCCGATCCCATAATGGGGCCCAGTGGAAAACTCCGCAGTCCTGTTGAGCTGGGCCAAGCAGCCACCTCCTGAGCCCCTCCATCCACCATCTTTCCCTGTGCTGCTTGGTACCCCCTTTATCTGATTCCAGGTTCACCTGCTGGATGCTCCCCGGCAAGCCTATCCCTGTCCTTGTCCTTTGCACATAATTCACTTTCCCCTGAGCACATGTGGCTCTTTTATTAATGGGCCTCTCACATTTCCTTGCCAAAGGACATATGGAAATTATGAATGCTACAGGCTCTGTTTTTCTGGCTTAGACAAACACCTGCCGGAAGGGGAGGCAGGTACCCCGACTGATATTGGCCTCCTGCTCCTTCAGTCTGGCTATTTAAACAACACCGTAAACCACTTTCTCTGCCTCCTTCACCCTCGCTTCCCAGTTCCTCTTTCCATTCTAAGATAAACTGCAGAGTGTTTGAACAGGAAGGAAGTCTAGAAAACAACTGGTCTGACGCTCTCATTTTAGGAATGAAGACACTGAGGCTCAAGGGGTTCTCCTCTTGCCCAAGGTCACAAGGAAGACAGCACAAGGCCAGGCCTGGGCACCCAGAACCCTTTGTCCAGGCTGGTTTCTTCCTCTCTCTGTAGCATCGCCATCCCATCTCATAGCCCAACAAGGCTCCCCTTGAGAGGCCGGGTTTGTCTTTGCTCTAACAGCAGCGGTTCTCAACCTGTGGGTCGTGACCCCTTTTAACTGTATTAAAGGTTCATGGCATTAGGAAGGTTGAGAACTGCTGCTCTAACAGGCTTATTCCTGTCCCTAGTCTCCCAGGACTAGGGAGAACAATCTTTCAAAATATTGTTACCCAACAGCAGAGAGGAGCACTGGACTCTTAGGCCAGGGGCAGGAGGGGTGGTGGGCCAGCTTGTATAATGCCCAGTGTGCCTGCAGACTGGACTGGTTGCCCTAATATTAGCCCCTTCTTGGTTAACTGGTATTGAGGGCCTGGGGTATCCCTAACCATCAGTAGCCTACCTACCACCCATTCTCCCATTCTTCCTCCCATTTCATTTAGGCATCTACTTCTCCCTCAAGCTACTAGGAACTCAGAGGAGGCTGACCCAGCCCCAGGTCCCAGGTGAGCCTGAGTGGCCCAAGAGGCTTCCCATCCGCCATCAATATAGGATTCAGCACTGGGCAAGATCAATGCATGAGGATCTGCTTCTCAGGAAAGCTTCCTGTCTCCAAAGAGCGACAGGAGTTTCCTTCTTCCTCCTCTGGACATGTCTGTGTCTGGTTGTGATGCTTGGAAGCACTGCAGCCATCTGGCTCCGGCCTGAGCACAAAGTTGATACCACAGGCAACAAAGCAGAGAGAGAGAAGACTTGGGTGTCCAGACACATCTTGCTGAGTCTTGCTAAGCTACATGGTAACAGGTTTTTTTTTTTTTTTTTGCATAAGACATCTAAATTCAGCGTTTCTGTTGCTGCAAGCCAAGAGCACCCTAACTGGTGTTGAGGGTCTGGGGTGTCCCTTTCTTTTCAGGGGAGACACGGACAGTGGGCTTTCATAACAGAAGCCACTTTCCCCCGACTGCAGGCCTGGGTCTCACCTGCTTTCTGCAGGGCCCTTCCTCCCGTGAGCCATGTGCTCGTCCCTGGGGGACCCCCATATGGCAGACTTGTAGATGGAGCCCGCCACGCCGTTTCTCACACCCTCCCACCAGGCCTCGAGCTTGTTCCTGCCACATGCTTGTTGCTGTTCCCACTCCGTCTGGGATGCGGTTTTCTTGGCTGATACGCTCTTATTAGCGCAAGATCTAGATGCCGAGAGATCCGCGTGTGTCTGCTCGCAATGTTCTTTGGCATCCTTAACTTCAGGGCCTTCAAGATTCTTCTAGTGCTTTAATAAGAACCCAGCGAGGAATACTGATGGTGGCAGCGGGGAGAAGTCCTCAAGGTTCTGATTTCCTCTCCTCCTATGAGTTGTGGCCTCCAGGGCAGGGACACGCGTCCCGCATCCCCAGTGGGCTCAGGCTGCCTAGA